AACTGTGAGTTAAATAAACCCTTTCCTCTCCAGTCATCACTGACCATTAGCCAAATATGGCCCAATAGAAAAAGGGCAGCACATCATGACCACTGTTCTTCAAGGAGGGTTTTATTTCCTTTTTCCCGGGGGTGTTTTGAAGTTGGCTTCCATTCTCCATATATAGCTCAACTTGATTTTTATTTTAACTTGAGGCAAATAATGGAGCAGCTCAAATCAGATATGAGACAGTGGAGTCAGAACAATCAGAGAGACTTAAGACCTTCCCAGACTCAACATCACCCCATGTTTGTGGCCAGTTTGAAGCTCATTCACTGAGGCAGCCCAACATTGTGGTGAGTAGAGTACTAAGATTATTCCTCGATGATAATCCTCGTCAACTCTTTGTAATACAGTGTGTTTATTAGCTACATGGTTATGGGTATATGTCCACACACTGGATAGCTCAACTGTCTGAAGTTGAGAGAAGGGGCATATGGTGATGTCTGTTGAACTAATGGAACAGTGTTGAGATTGTTGAATGACACAGGAAGTGTGTGTGCATTGTGTCTTGAAACCCCAAAACTGGAGCCTCTAGGAGATGAGTTTACATTTGTGATGGTAATATGTTCTCACCTGAGACATCCAGCCCAACTCAGTGGTCTGCCATACAACTGAGGCATTGGCAAGACCCTTCAGCCTCCTCTCTGACCCTCAGTGGCATACCCATCATGGGAAGACTGACTTCTAAGTTTGGCTGAAATTTGACTCTTTATGATACCCTCTCCTAAGTGGATCTATTCAGTGCCACCTCCCAATTGCCCTAGATCAGGGCTATCTGGGGAAGACCATTTCCCTACTTCCTGTTGCCTGAGGTAACTTGATACTTGTGCCTGGTGTCCTCCTGCATTCAGTGTCCAGAATGCCATTCTGTAAAGTTGCATACTGTTTCCACAGAGTCTAGAGGTTCTGGGAGTCAGATGCAGCCTATAGGTTTTTATTCAGTGTGTGGAGATACATGGTACCCAGTTGATTATACCATCTCTTCTAGCCAAGAGATGGAACTGTCTTATCAAATACCAGAGCCTGGCATATCTCAACTTCCTGTTTAAGCATTTGTGTGTGTGTGTGTGTGTGTGTGTGTGTGTGTGTGTGTGTGTGTGTGTGTGAATGTATATGTAGGCACAGGCAAGCTGTGGAGTGTATGTGGAGGTCAGAGAATGCCTTCCAGCAGTTAGTTCTTGCTTTTCATGTGGTCCCAGGTGTTGAACTCAGCTCATCAGGCTTCCTGCCAAACACTTTACCTTTTGAACCATCTCACTGGGAGCCACTGGCTTCCTACTGAAAACCATGAAACCCATGGAGTTGTGGCATATCTGAAAATGTAGTGAAAAATATGCCACAATTGTATGTAACTAGTAACCATGGCTGAGGGTAATGAGGTCTACTGACAATTGACTCATCACTAGCTGTTGGCTAATGGTGGCAAGATTCTTGCTTCTCTCGACCTCTGCTTCCTGTAACATCACAGGAAGGAACCAGGCCTGGCAGAGAGGAAACACAGATAGAGAGGTGCAGAGAGAGAGACGGGGGAACATGGCACCGCCTTATAAAGGCCAGGACGCACCTGCGCACACAGGCTCACACGCAGAGATCACGTGGACACGTCCGTGCAACTACGTGACCTCGTAACCATGGGGCATGGGTCACATAAGATGTAGGACCCAGAAATGACTAGGCAGAGATGACTAAGTATCTCAGGCATGCACAACCATGGGCGTGGTTGGAATTCCTATCAATACATGCTTCAGTTAAGTTTTTGGTGCGTTATGCATCTGCATTAGGGTGATGGTTGAGTAGGAATGCCCCCCCCCCCCATAAGCTCCTAGATTTGAGTGCTTGGTCACCAGGAAATAGTGCTACTTGCCAGGGGTTAGTAGGTGTGGCCTTGTTGGAGGAGGTGTGTCACTAGAGGTGGGCTTTGGGGTTTCAAATGTTCCAGCCAGGCCTAGTGTCTCTGTCTTCCTGCTGCATGCAGATCCAGATGTAGAACTCCTAGATCCTTTTCCAACACTGTGTCTGCCTGCATGCCACCACGCTTCCCACCATGCCGATAATGGACTGAACCTCTGAAACTGTAAGCCAGCCCCAATTAAATGTTTTCCTTTAAAAGAGCTGCCGTGGTCATGTTGTCTCTTCACAGCAACAGAACAGCGACTAAGATAGTTATCTGGGCTGAGTTTTGAAACAAGTTATAAGCCCCAAATATAATTTCTTTAACAACAACAACCACAACAAAAACACAAGAGAAAACCCCTTCCATTTCCGTGCTCAGCGTGTGAAAGCTCGTTTTGTCTTCAGGGCTCTGTGGCCTTCGGGCTGGTTGGTCTTGGCCTCTGTGGTTGATGTAGCGGGCAGGAACTGGAAGTAGCATAGGACAGCTGCCACAGTTTGTCCATTGCACTTGTACCCATTGGTCAGAATTAGCCAAGCTGCATGCTGGGAGGTGAGTGGTATCACGGTATTAGCTTCCTTTCCAGTTGCTGTGGTAACTATCTTGTTTATTGTCACTTGTAGTTCCAGCTTCTGGACCATCACAGCAGGGAAGCCACAGTGGCTGGAGCTTGAGGAAATGAGTCATACCACATCCATAATCAGGAACCAAGAGCAATGATTGTGTGCATGCTTTCTCTTCTCCCAGCCTAGGGAATGGTACCACTCAAAACAGATCTTCCCAGCTCAGTTAATGCAATCAATGAAACACCCCTTCCACATGACTGGCCAACCTGACCTAGACATTCCTTCATTGAGACTCTATTCCCAGGTCATTCTAGACTGTCAATTAAAACTAAGCATCTGTCATTGTTAGTGGGCATGAAGTCAAGGGGAGTGATGATTTGGGGTTATGTGAATTTAGCTAAGCTGAACTAACACTTGCTAGAATTCCCTTGTTTGTAAGGTTGTTTACAGGAGATATTTTCATAAGGTTTGGATAATGGATGGCATGAAGCAGTGGTCACTTAGTTTGGAAGGAGCAGGTGACAAGTGTCCCAATGGCTTAAGCTGGTCTCTTGGCTCACACGCTGGCTGTCAACTGGCCTCGGGCTCTCCAGGCCTCAATGGACCCACCTCCTTTGTCACCCTCCAGTCCTGGGCTGGAAGCACATGAGAGTCCATGGGGGGGGGCACCTTCATTTCCACGGCACCACACGACAGATGCAAACTCTTGTTTGCCTTCCTGATCTGCAGCTCGTCCTGGATCTCCACTGCTCCAAACCCAGGCCTTCTGGCCATCTGCCAGCCTCCCTGACTGACAATAGCTTCAGACCCCCTGTCAGGGCCAGATGCATCAGCCTGCCCTAAAGTTTATCACCCTCCTCATACTACCTATGATGTCTAACCCTACAATAAATCTCTCCGGCCATGTTATCCATAGTTATTTTGGTTCTCTGCTAAGACAATAATTAGTATTCATATGTTATATAACCAGACCTTATTTTACAGTATGACAAAGAATTTTATTTCATATACTGCAGAGAGGACGAGATATAAAGCATTTGAGTCATGTTGAAAGAAGTGAGGAAAAAGGTGTTGATGTACAAAAAGGAGTCTATGGTTGCCCAAAATGAAGATTTTTAATAACACAAAGCCAAAGGCAGGGGTTAGAGCAGAGAGTAGCTTCGGTAGCTTGCCTCTGTTACAAACAAGTTCCATGAGCCAGCCCTGATGAAGGCGCTGGACCAGGGAAATCCTTTTTGTGAGGCTTTTAAGTAAGATTTGCCTGAAGCACCAGTGAAACAGAACATGCTAGATGCAGTGAGGCACCCCTTTAATTTCAGCGCCAGGGAGGCAGAACATGCTAGATGCAGTGAGGCACCCCTTTAATTTCAGCGCCAGGGAGGCAGAACATGCTAGATGCAGTGAGGCACCCCTTTAATTCCAGCGCCAGGGAAGCAGAAGCTGCTGGATCTGAGTTTGAAGCTGCTTGGTCTACACTGTGAGGTTCAGGCCAGCTAGGGCTACAAAGTGAATCCCTTCCCCCGCCCCCCGCCCCCCCAAACCAAAACCAAAACCACCAGAGGATTTCAGTAAGACCTACTCCTGTCTTGGTTGTCTGTGTGCCACAAGACTCTTAGGATGCTGTGGCCTCTCCAGTGGTGGGGGAGGGCCACGGGAGACACTGTTGCCTAGCTTCTAGCCTGGAGTTGCTTTCTGAACACAAGTCCTCCTGAGACTTCCTCGAAAGACGCAGTCGACCAGACAAAGACTGTGGCCTGAGGCTTGACCACGCCTCCCTCTGCTCGCACAGTCCTACTGTGGGTGCCGATCACTCCCACTCCCCATCCTCCCCCAGTCACCTTTCCTGACTGGAGCAAATCAAAGCAGGCCTTGCCACACTGCTTCCAGGGACTGGAAAACACCCACAGCAAAGCAATCTATTCATAGATTGCATGTGATTCACAGCACCCGGGTGGACTTCAGCTGGCAGAGGATGAGTTTTGTCCTGGGGCAGCGGTTCTCAACCTTCCCAAGGCTGCAGCCCTTTAATACAGTTTTTCATGTTGTGGTGACCCCCAACCAAAAAATTTTGTTGCCACTTCGTAACTGTAGTTTTGCTACTGTTATGAATTGTAAATGTCTGATATGCAGGATGGTCTTAGGAGACCCCTGTGAAAAGGTCAATGGACTCCCAGGTCAGAATCCGCAGGTTGAGAACCATGGATATCAGAAGACCTGTCCTTGGGGACAGCAGATATTAAGAATGAGAGATTCCAAGATGGTCAAAGGATCTGACTCCACAGAGTGCTTCTGGGAATCTAAAGTGTAGATACACTAGAACCTGTGAGAAAACTGAAGATTTGGCCAGTTCCCAATAAACTCTGGGCTCGTTGGGTCACCTGGGTCCATATCCTCTCAATCATACTTTTTTTCCCTCTTGCTATGTAAAATAGCAATAATTATGATGCCCTTCCACACCAGTAGCTATTTTTCAGAAACATGGCAAGAGAATGAGGCACACATAAGATGCAAATTCTTTTTATTAATATTAACTAATAAGTTATGCAGCCCTGACAGCATGCTCATATCACCTTTTTAAAAGACATTATAGACATTCTCTCTTGCCAGAGGAAGGAGAATCCACTTTCAAGTCTGTGGGAACACTCCAGCTGGAGGTGGACCTAGAGCTGCGTGCAGAGTTCTGTTTTCACATGCACTCGGCTCTGCTTGAGTTTAGCACTGTGCTGTCTCCTACATGGCAATTTTATCAATCCTGATGTCAAAGGCAGCAGCAGATGAATGAGTAGAGGGCCTAAAGTGGCCTCCGGTATTTTCTAAAATCTGGAATTGGCTATCAAATTTTGAAAATAGAGAGCTTAGCAAGGGTTACACCACCTCCCCACCCCTGCTCAGGGCAGGAGCCTCAGAGATGCGCACAGCTCAGCTAGGCTAGCTCTTCACCTGGCTCCCACAGCCATCTGTGTCTGGGTTTAAGAGGCCTGCTCCCTCCCTCCATGGCTAACTGTACTGCATCTCACACTAGTTTGGAAGGGGTCTCCAGGCCAGAACATGGCAATAAAGCTTTGAAACAGCTGTCAGGAGTAACCATCTTCTGGTTACTCTTCCACACAGTGTGGCTATCTGCATGTTTATGGTTCTGAGTTGTGAAGTCATCTCTCCTAAGCATTGTTTACCTACTCAATCTACTGGGTCCCTGAAGCTGAGCTCTGCCTGCTCCTTTCGGTTAGATGGCATCCTGGGAAGTAAAATCTTCATCAACAACTCCAAGACCTCCTTACTCACACTCAGTCCCAGGGATGGAGTCACACCACATTACAGTTTGTAATTAAATGACAGCAGAAAGCCTGAGCTGTGAGCTGGAAATACAGGGTCAACACAGTATCAGCTCTGATTTGAACGAATTAGCTTCCTGAAATTATCAACAGCCTGCCAAATAGCGTGATCTTTATCCACAGGGAAAAGAAAACCGTGCATTTAGGAAAATAAGCCCTTTTGTAACTTAACTTTCTAAAGAGTAGAAAATACCATCTTTGCATGCAGAAACTGGTCAATATTATCTCTCTAGACAGTGTGGATCTCTACTCTCACACAATGGTTTTAATTAGAAGATATCCTTCATTAAATGGAGCCCACAGGGGAGCAAACCCTCTGTAAATTAAAAATACTATTCAGTGGAAACTGCGACTTTTAACCAATATGGATTTTAATAACCTAAATATTAAAAAAAACCTCCCTAGCATAGAAGTCAGAGGTGACTGTGTTTTTAATATTGCTATATACATATGAGAATACCAAGTACACTCAACTTCAAACAATCCAGTTGCGTTAACAAACACACATAACAAATGTAAACTCTTACCAGACATCAAATTTCCTGTTTTAATATCTTTTTGAATTCAATGTCCTAGAAGGTGCCTTTTGTTTCATTTGCTTTTTTTAAATTTTGTTTTATAATCTTTAATCTTGCAGAGAGGAAAGAAAGAAAAATGCAGCTGAAAAAAATAATCGACATAGTGCGAGTCTCATTAGGTGAAATCTCTTCTGGATTTTTCCCACCGGAGCAAATACAGTGTCAGACAGGCAGCTGCTGTAAAGGCTTGGACGTTAGGTCACACCACACAGCATACTTTACTTTTATCAAAGACTGTCACAGCATTGATGGCATTAGGTTTTAAAAATGGCTGTCTTAGTCTAATTTTGGTGACACCACTAGAAAAAAGTTTGTGATTATAGTTTAAAGTTTTAGCAAAGAATTAAGGGTAACTGCAACAGAACTCTGACAAGGTCAAAACACCTGTCATGGTGTCAGCATCCTCTAACTTCAGGCTGTCCTGTCCAAGAGCACTTCTTAATTTCGGCCGGTTTTAGTGTGTGGGGGTTGAGTGCCAGTAAATTTAGTGTGCCGCACTGGGTCCCAAGGCTATCCCTGTGAAGCAGAAGGCAGGCCTACTTGGCCTTCTCGCCTGCACAGTGAGTCTACATAGACCCAGGATTTGAATTTTCTTTTTAGGAGCCAACAGCTAAAATTGTCTTGAAACACTCTAAAGCTTTAAAAGTTGTAACAAACCCCATGTGGCCCCTGGTGGCTGAGAGTTTAAGGAATCTGGAGGCCCGAGGGTCCATCTGAGAAGCCTGGCTCTGAATGTAGTGTCATGGCTGGCAGTTTTCATCTCCATTTGGCTCTAATGCCTAAAATAGTCTCCAAAAAATAATCTATCCATCTAGTTATTTTCTCCCTTGCAAGACAACATTAAAACAGTTTGGGGGAAGGAATTATGATCTGCCTACACTTTGAAAAGCTGTTACTGTAACAGCCTTAAATATGCCATTGAAATTCTGCACATCCTTATATATTCAATGTCTTCTCAGATTTCCTTCTCATAGCTGCAGGGATAGCAAACACTCAGGTCCTCAAGCACCACAAATACAAATCCATGCTTCTAAAAGGCAAAACCACCATAGTAAGTCTCTGTGTTCATGGTCACCGTGAGTGTTTCCTTTATTAACACCTGTGTATTGTAATAGCATCTGCACTCAACACTATTCCCCACTCAAGCAGCTCTTTCATGATCACGTGACTTTAAGCGTGTTCTTAGCCATGTTCTATGAACTTCCTCTGTGCAGCCCTGCACAGAGTCCTGGAAAAAGCGACTCTGCTCCAGTTATCCTTTCAGTGTGTGAGATGTGAACTCCAGAGCACCAAGCGTGCAGAGCTCTGAGCCCCTCATGTTTCATGTCATGAAGAAACTGTCTGGTAACACATAAGGTTCAGAAGCTTAATGAGATTTCTTTTTCAACTCCCGTTTTGTTTTTAATCTCTTAAATTTTTTCTTAGTCAGACTCAGCCACCAAAGTGTGGCTTCCTGTCTCTGACCTGTGTGCTGCAATTCGAAGCAATAAATTCCAAGCAGCCATGACAGAGGCTGCAGTCAGCATGTGAGACAAGTCCAAGGCCCATCGATTGAGCAGAGGGAGACTGCTGCTCCCCCCAGTCTGGCTGCTTCCTGCGCCCCGTAGTCTGTGCCCTGCGCTGTTTTTCAGCTCGAGTCTTCTCAAGCGTGAAAACACAGTTACGGATTGTTCTGGGAGCTAAATGGCTCAGCATCTTGGCACTTGGCTGTTTTTAGCTTCTCAACAATAGCCACTGTTTGCTCCCTCCATCTCCATCCTTCCTTCAGCGATGAGGCAGGCATCTGATGAAAGGCTGGTCACGGCGTGCCCCCATGGTGTCAGTGTGGTGGCATGTGATGGTTCACATGGGGTGTGTTTGACCCGAGGAAGCCCAGTCTCTGCTTGTTCTTCCTTTGTTCTGTCATCTGGGGAGAGAGAGAGAGCGTGCCTTCAGCTGCTTTTGTGGATTCTTCCCCCCCCCCCCCCCAGAATCCACTGTCTGGTTCCACACAGAATATATTCACCACAAAAGCATTTATTTTAAAAGGTAAATTACCAGAAATAGAGGTGAAAAGAAAGAGCAACTCTTCTCTCCATGGTTAGGAAGTGGGATGTTTGAAACACATCTGTTACATTCTTACCACTGTTACTATCATTTACTAGCTACCAAGAGGCCTGGTGATAATACGTCTTATGAGTACTAAGGATATCATATGATGAAAGGGTTGATCAGCGATTAATGAATACTACCTTTGCAATGAGCTTGGACAGCCAAAGCCGGGCAGGAAATAGGATCAATCACCAAGAGCAAAGGGGTCCCTCTGTCTTTCTGCAGAGTGAGAAATGCTGCACAGGGGGTGGGGAGTCCCTGCGTGCTGAGCTGCCGTTGCATGGCACAGGTTAGGAGTTCTCTGGGTTCCCTGCTCACAGCGGTGGGGGCTCTAGCCCCAGCTCACTGACCTGCTCCTTCAGCTCTGCCAGCTGCCCAGACAGCTGCTTCACCAGACTCATGGTGGACTCCAGCTTCTCCTGCAGGTTCCGGATCTCATTTTGCTCACTGTCACCTTCATTGCTGACAAGTGACATGGCTCGCATCCGAGGAAACCAGTCCAAATTCTTCTCCTAAAAGAAAATAAATGCAGAACCAAGCAGTGAGTGTGCTGGGAGCCAGGGGCACTACAAAGAGTATTTCTGAATTGAAATTTAAATCGTCTCACTTGGCATGGTGGTGAACATCTGTAATCCGAACACTCTGGAAGCTGAGGCAGGAGCTGGCCTTGGAGTTCTATATAGTGAATTTCAGGCCAGCCTGGGCTACAAAGCAAGACTGTCTCAAATAAAACCCAAAACTCGGTGTCTCTCAGGATATACACTAAAAGATCCTTCTCTGGACAGGGGCAGGAAGAGGCAGGGTTGGTCCTATGGACTAGGAAAACCTCAACAATGACTTCTTCCAGGCTCCCAGCTGGTCCTGGATGAAGTAGCCTGTGGGCATCCCGTGAAAGATGGAGGATGGGTCTGATGGCAGCAAGAGCAGATCCAAGCATGTGGGGTGTAGGCAAAGCATAACTGCTCCTGAATCGGAGGTTGGTAGAAGAAAGGTTTCCGCTCCAGCCGCCCATACTGGGTTCCTGCCCATGCCCTCTGCTGAGGTTCTTTACCAGTTTTGTGGCCTCCAGCTCCATGTGGGGACGAGGGGAGTGGAAGGGCACGGCCTGGGGTTATGCTGTCTGTCCCCTTGGAAGCACTGTATTACAGTGGGGGAACTTCCCCAGATGGCAATAGCTGGTGCCACTTCTGCTATTTTCTGGGCAGCCCGGGTATGTCCCATGTGTGTGTGTTTCCCCTCCATTGTAGTAGACACCCATAAGTCTCAAAAACTCTGCCTAAGTGGTGAACACCATAGAGTCGGTGTGTGTAACTGAGCATATATTTTTCAATCTTCATTCACTCTGTAAATTGTAAGGTGTCCCCCATCTCCAGCAGGTTAATTCCCCATGACATAGCTGGGAACCGAAGACCATGGGGTTGTGTCCCCACCTACCCGACTGCTTCTGAGAACCTTCCTGTCACCCTTGCAGGGAGCCTCTTGCTTCCAACTCCTCCCCTCCCAGGCAAGTCCTGAGAAATCTCTGCCTGGGGCTCCCAACCACAGGGCTGTCAGAGCCCTCTCTTTCTCAAGAGTGCAGTGGGAAGAGGTGTCTGTACTGCCATTTCCATCTTGACCTTTCTTATCATTGGCATGGCTTGTTGACATGCGTGTGACACATGGTGCCCTATCTCCAGTGGCAGAAAAAAGATTGAGGGTCATCACTTTCTCTGAATTTCGGAGTGACAGATGTATTCAGTGAGTCCTACCCCACCTACAGTCAGGTATTTAGGGATCAAAGTCACACTCGCTCGTGTGTGTGTGTGTGTGTGTGTGTGTGTGTGTGTGTGTGTGTGTGTGTATCAGAGGACAAATGGCCAGAGTCAGTGCTTTCCTTATACCATGTGGGTCCTGGGGATCAAACTCAGATCCTCAGCTTTGGCAGCAAGCACCATCCTGGGCCTTTATAGGCACTAAGCTCAACATCATCCTTTTTCTGCCACAGTGATTCTTAGGATGAATCGTGTAGAGTCCCTGATGTCATCCTGAAGCTGACCAGCTAATCAATGGGGTGGCTCAGTTGATTTTGGGCAGTCTGAGCCAGCCAACATCTGAGATGAATGTACCAGAGTGACATCCTTTCTGCCCCTACCAGCTATTAGAGGAGAGCTTGGCTCAAAAACTGCCTTTTGCTCAGAGGCTAAGGTGATCACTTCTTCATGTCAGAGTCCCAGAGTTCACCAGCTCTTCTTCTGGGGTGGGAAACAGGTGGCCAGCAGAGGAGGGATTGTGGGGGAGGGGATTAAAACGAAGGCTGATGATGTCATTGTTCTTTGTGTCTGTGAACAATGTATGGCGTTTTAGGGAAATGGGTGGCAGTGAGACTCTTAAGAGAAATAATCCAGATTCAGATAGATACATTTGAGATCTGTAGAGATAAACAGGTTGTTTTCTATCATAGGAGGAATCTAGTTAAATTTAGATTCTTACATATCTATACATGCATACATAAAAAGTAGTGCCGGACTACAGGAGGGTGGGAAGAGACATGAAGGCCGGGTGGGGATAAAAGAGGATAATGGGACACATGTGACTTGGAAGAAAGGGAGTTCCTCCAGGGCAGAAGTGTTGGGGTGTATCAGGTGACACAGGGTCAGATGATATCAGGAGACACAGCAATTAATGGCCCGAGTGAGGGAAGGGGAAGATAGCCCTTCCAGGATCAGGCGGACAGAAGACAGGTTTGCAAAACCATCTCCACAGAAAGGCTCCTGCAGGCGGTGGAGCTGTCATGTCCAAGGCTGCCTGCTTTTGAGGAAACAATGGCAGCTCTCTCTCAGCAGATTCTGCTGGAGCTGCCTGGGCCACGGGACTCTCATTCTCCACTCTGTCTGCATTAGTCCCTTTGTTCACTCATCCCTTTCATAATTCCCGCTTGTAATTCCTGGGCCCGTGCTAGGCACTGGGAAACAATGGAAGCCACGCCCAGCGTGGGCCTCGTGCTTTTCCAACCCACAGGCGGTCACAGATGACAAAGGCCAGGAGATGCTAGGGAGGAAAGATGGTCTGTTCCTGTCCTCTGGGTTCCAGTCTCTCTTTTTAGCCCCTTTGGGTATTTCTGGTTACTCTGGCATGTTTCTCCCTCTACCTGTCTATCAATTGACCATAATCTGAAATGAAGATATATAGGTAATTTTCCAATGTTTAAAATGAAGAAATGCTAAGATTCCTTGTCCCCTCTCCCTAGGCAGGGAGTCTAGACTTTCACCTCCAATTCCACCATCTCTGCTGCACCCATCTGACTGCTTCTCTAGGCAGGCACTAGATTTATACTGCCAACTCTACCCACACCCATGATCTTAAGACCTACCCTCTCCAAGGAGGGCCACTATAACCACATCTGCAACTCCTGCAACAGGCATGAGGATGGCATGCCCTGTGCCTGCCTCCCCTCACCCCATTCTTCACACAGGGATTCAAAACTAGCATGGCCAACTCCCCTAGTACCTGTAGAAAAGTTCTGACCCTGAAACTTGGCTATGAGCATCTTCTAACTTTACAGAAAGTCTGCTCTGGGCTTAGAAACCTCACTGAGCTTGAGCTGAGCAAAGTCTACTTGTTTGAACATCAACACTGAATTGCCCAAAGACTGAGCCCTTCACCCCATACAGCTGGTCAATCATCTGACAAATAGGTGTGATGGGACAGAGAACTTCAGCTACCCACTCAACACCAAAGACAAGATGTCTACAACAAATGCTACCAATGACCTTACTCTAGATGCCCAGATCCCACCTCACACATGAATAACTACAAATTAGTACTCCCATTGTAATGTCCCCTGAGAAAGGTGACTTCGATGATACACAGGATAAGGATTCAAATAGAAAAAAATTATCAAAGGATTCAAAGAGGAGATGAATAAATGGCAAATTGGAGATTGCAAAAATATAGTTGGATGAAATAACTCAAGACATTAAAACAAAAATTAGTAAAGAGATACAATCTCTGAAGAAAAGCTAAAATGAAATAAAGCTTGAAATGAAAAATTCATGAATTCAAACAAAAAATTCAGAGTAAAGTTTCACCAACAGATTGGATCAGGTGGAAGAGAATATCAGCTCTTGAAGACAAAGAGGAATTGGACCATTCAACTCAAGAAAATGTCAAATCCCCTCCAAGCCCCAAAAACAGAATGTGTGGGACTTCACTCTATAAAAATATCAAATCTAGAAAATGATAAGTATAGATGGAAAAGAACAAAATTGTAGAATAAAAATTCCATAATTTAAGAAAAGAGATGCTTATCAAGGTCCAAGAGACATACAGAACACCAAATAGATAGGACCAGAAAAGAAATTCCCCACATCATATAATAGTCAAAACACCAAACGTACAAAACAAAGGATATTGAAAGTGAGAAGAAAACAAGTCTCATACAAAGGTAGGTCCATTGGAATAACAGTAAGTTTTCCAATGGAGACTGAAATCCAGAAGGAACTAGGCCCATGCTCTACAAGCTATGAAAGACAGTGGATGGCAGTGAGGACTACTGTACCCAGCAAAAGTCTCAGATCTACTTTATGACCACTAATCCTGCTCTAGAGAAGATACTGAAACGAACACTCCTGTCTGAAGAAAAGGGTAAACATGTACAGGCAAACACAAATGCAATTCCAGAACATTGAATCAAAAGAGGACACCATAAAATCAACAAAATGACAGAAATTAATATACATTATTCAATAATATCTCTTAATATTAACTGATAATAAAATTAATTTGGTCTCAATTCCCCAGTAAATAGAAACAGACTAACAGACTGGATCAGAAAACAGGATCCATTTTTTTGCTGCCACCAAGAAACATGATTCTGGGCCAGTGACAGACACCACCTCAAGGTAAAGGGTGGGAAAAGGATCCAAGCAAATGGAACCAAGAGTCGAGCAGCACAGGGATTCTAATATGTGACAAAACTAACCAGGAGAGACACACAGGGATACTTTATCCTCACTCGGGAGAAACCCAACAGGATAGGGTACAATCCTAAATACACATGAATTAAGCACAAGGCACAACATTTCATAAAAGAAAACTACTAAATTTGAAACCACAGATGAACCCTGCCACAGTGATGGTGGTGATTTCAATCCCCCACTCTCATGAACATATAGGTCATTTGGCAAAAGAAAACTCAAGTTCAATGACATCATAAATCAATAGACCTAACATATCTACAGAACATCCCATCTGAATGTTAAAGAATATATATTGTTCTTTGTAGCCTATGGAATTTTTCTACAAAACAGACCACATATTAGGACACAATGCAAGTCTCAAAAAATATAGGGAAGCTGAAATCACATTCTGAATTTTATCTAATAACCATGAAATAAAGCTGGATATCAACAATTATAGAAATGACAGGAAGAACGCAAAGTTCTAGAAGCTAAACAACACACTTCTGAATCAAAATTGGGTAAAGAAAAATCGAGAAGGGAATTTAAACTGAATAAAAATGAAAACATCATAG